GATCAGGATGCCGTGACACTTGTAGAAATTGGCGTAACATTTCTTGCAGATAAACTCTGACAGCTGGGGGTCACGGGTCAGTTGGACCCCCACCAGTTGTTGGAAGTCTGTGTGAAATAAAAGTGGAGAGCGGTCCGCAGTGTCTGAGTCTTCATCAACAACATCTACTGAGTCTCGGGACCCGTGATTGAAGGCGTGACGCAGGCTACGTGGACTAAACTTTCCATGGCAGAGGCGACAGGTGGCAGTAGAGAGTCTGCCTGTGGAATAAAGAGAAGGAGGGACCAAACTGAGAATTTGATTTGTTCCTGTGGCTCATACAGTGTAGCATTAACTTTATTATGTTTGTACTTGTGAATGAACCACAAGGGGGAGACACTCACCTGAGCTCTTGTTCTTGGTCTCTGTGAGTTTCTGGTCTCTGACACTGCACTCTGTCTTCTCATCCACCATGGCTGAGGTGTAGGGATGAAAATGATCAGCGGTGACTACAGGAAGTGTCTTCCTTGGTCTTCCTCTGTTCCTTGGAGTCTTCGCTCCCTGGCTGAAGCTCACCGTGGTCTCTATCTTCAGGGTCTTCTGAGAAGTGTCTGCAGACTTCAGGCGTCTGCTTTTCTTTTTCATGATTCACTCTCGAGTCCTGATCTTGATCCTGGTGATGGTGGGATTTTACTGGAGATCCTCTGGAAAGTCATAAAGAGATATGTCTAGTCAACCACGTGACGATGACAGTCTTCATCATAACAATCCAGCCCCCCTCATCTGTATTTACAGAACGTCAGTGTTCCTGTGGTTGAGCTTTAGTGAGAGAAATGGAAGACACGCTGAAATGTTCTAAACACTGGTCTTTTAAACAGTAATTCTATAGAACCCTTTCAAACGCCAGTGCCGTCGGTTTAACGACTGGGTCAGAGTAAAACTGTTGACTTGTTTCCTGCACAATGCAGTTAATCGTTTTATTAACTCTTAATAATATTATTATTATTATTAGTTCCGTGTTAAAGTCACGTTATCTCGATGTTGTGGTAACGAATCTTTAACGAAAGGGCGAGTTTTAAAGTGATTATTTAAAGTTAAAGCACCCAAGTACGCATCATTTACAAATCCACACATCCCCCTTCATTCTCTTTAGCTACATTAGCATCGCTAGCCGCTACAAAATTTACCGTAAATACGAAGCGCGGTGATGCAGGTTACCGTCTGTGCGGGTCTGTCCTAAAACCTGTGGAGCGTCATGGTTTCATAGGCAGAGTATTTTCTTTACTCCTTCATAGTTTGGCATTTCTTGGAACGATGCTGCAAATGTAAACAATAGAACCCGGAAGTACAAAAGGTAATACTTATGAAGCAAAAATGTTACACTGACACCTGCTGGTTGTAGAGACTCACTACATCCAAATATTTGGATATTTGGATTTGGTTAACGACAGTAAATTTAAATAATTTGAAACAACACAGGAATAAAATTACACAAGAAGTTATGTAGCTAAACAAATATGTTATTGCCATTTTATTGGAGGAGATAAAATTTAAGTCTATTTTTTCTCAAATGTTTCTTAACATTTCTTAAATGTTTAAATGACTTTATATGGTTCTCTGTCTCATTCCGGAAAGTCACTGTATTAATAAAGAAATAAAAATAACTTTAATATTTTTGGATCGAATTAGTAGGCATTCACATTTATCTGTAGTGATATCCATCGTAGTATAGTTCAATAAATATTCCGGTAGGGGGCAGAAGACCTCTTTGTTCACTAAGTTGACGCCGTTGTCCTGACAGGAGGCGAAGAAGCTGTAGCAGTAGTAGAAGAAGAAGAAGACACCATGTCTGCAGCAGCAGCTGAGGGTGGAGTAAAACCGCTACAAAATGCCATGAAAATGGCCAAAAATGCCATTCAGCTGGACGGAGAAAGTAGATCCAAGGTAAGAAAAGTAGATCGAGGAATGAAGAGGAAGTGCGTCACAGAAACGACAGGTTTTTAACCAAACAAGAAGCGGATGATCAATGTTTGTGATGTAAACAGAAGAACAGCTGATCATCAACTGATCTGAGAACAGTCAGAGATCCTCTGTTACAGGGTTTTATTATTTGTTAATAAGTACTTTTTGAGAAACACTGCACATCACTGATTAAAAGTCAAACTGTTCTGGTCTTATTGACCTGGTTAACTGTCAATATGTGAAACAAGAACAGAAGAAGAAAAAAACATGACTATGTATCTCAAAACGTTTTGAGATAATCCAGTCGACTCCTTACACCTTAATGTGTGATTCATTTTTTTAAACCAGTAAGAATGGTCAAGGATTGGTGTTGATTCATCGTTACAGCCCTAGTCACCACATATGATGTGTGTGTGCGTGTGTGTGTGTGTCTCCCTCCTCAGGAAGCTTATTGCGAATATCTGCGTACCATCAACTACATCTCACATGTTCTCCTGGAGCAGGCTGAGTCACAGAGTAAGGAACAAGGAGCTGTGTTGTGTTCAGTGTCCAGACATGATTGACCAACAGAGACATTTGACTCCTCACTGCACACACTCTCTGTCTCTCCCTCCTCATCGTCTCTCTTCTGTGTGTGTTGTCAGAGGAGAAGGAGGCGACGGGGGTGGAGCTGGAGCGGATGCTGAGGTTGGGGGAGCAGTGTCTGGAACGAGCCAAGTCCTTCATACAGAGTGACTCCGCCTCTCAGGAACCCTCCACCCTTTCTCCCTGTTCACCTGCTCCACCTGAGTCCAGTCAGACGACGGCCACTGCAGACACCGGTGAATGAAAACACATCCAATAAAATCTACAGCTTTCTCTCTCCTATTGGTGGTAGTTGCGTTCCAAGACCAACCTCACAATGGGAACAATCGCGAAGTAGAGGCGAGATAGTTATCATATTATTGACGTATATATTTACCCTTTACGAACCCCCCCCCCACACACACACTGTTATCAACCCTCCCTGGACTGTACCCATGTTCCCATACAATTATATGCACAGTGGAGTTGTAGAATGGAAATATAAGACGTACATATTACGTAAATAAATGAAATACAGGACCATGGAAAACACTGTAAAATACATTCTAATTATGAGGATGGTCAACACCTTCGTGATCACATGTCCTCTGGGAGTTGGAGAGTTGATCTTGCTCAACAAGAGCAACTTTCATCTAATCCTGTTTCCTTCTCCCCATCTGCAGCAGTGTGTCCAGCATCAGTCAGTCTGACCACGACCGGTCGCTGCCCAGTCATGTCAGAGGGTGGGGGTGAGCAGCCCTCCTCCTTCCTCCCCCCTGAGGTCTTCCAGAAGCTGCAAACACACGAGTCATGTGACAGGAGCAAAAAGTAAGAGCAGATCCAGTATCTGCTGATCGGTATCAGTTCCCAGACGTTCCTCACAGCTGATTCTCAGAAAAATAAATCTGCAGCTCTCAGTCAAAAGTTTAACAGATTTAAATGACCTCAATTTGTTAAGCTGTGTGTGTGTGTGTGTTTGTTCCAGAGAGCTGACACCAATAGAACAAGCCTCACGTTTGAATCAGAAACTAAAGGCCAATTATGAAGCTCGTCTGGCTCGACTGACCCCGGGTCAGGCCAATCAGAAGACGTCTCTGGTGAGTGGTCGTATGTGTAGAAGATGGTGCCCCTCCCCTCTCTCCCCTTTCTTACAGAGAAGTTTCAAGGAATCATCAATGAACTGGAAAGATAGTATATGGTAGGTCAAAGGGCACTCTCTGACCACAGACATTTTCTTTCACTGAAGCAGCACAACACTGTTTGGTCAGTGTTCTTCATGTGACTTCATGTCAGCAAGACTTTAAAAATCTTTAAAGAGACAGGAATTCCTGATAAAATAAAACAAACCCGGGATCTGGATCATAGAGACAGATCTAAGCTTTAAAGTTGACGTTGTTGAAATAGATGATTTGGACTCAGTAAATGAGGCCTCGAGTGTGGTGGAATTTTGAGGACGTTTCCTTTCGGGCTTTTATTTTGAAAATTATTTTACCTGCGTGTGTGACGTCAGCTGGGCTGGTGTTTGATAAATAGCGGTGAGCGCGGTTCAGTGAGATGAGAAGAGGTTCAGTCTGTGTCCGGGGGTTGAACCGATGAACGTACTTGACAAGTCTGTCAAAAAAACTGGTTCAACTCTTTCAGCTAAAATGAACAAAGTTAACGTCACAGTTGTGGTTCAGATGCGGAGAATGTTCGGGCGGCCGGGGCAGCTGCGAGTCTACTGGAGAAAACTGAAGACGTTTGTAAAGGTAAAAAAAAAAAGACGTTCATTAGCCTGAGCTAATCAGGCTACCAAGTGAGCTAATGCTAAAATCCGAGCGTTATGTGTGGCTGAAAAGCGTTAACACATGTGGAAATACAATTGTACTCGGGAAGTGACAACTGTTGGAGGTTATTATGAAGTTTAAGAACATGACTTGAGTTTTAACATGTGCATTTTAAAGGATAAAGTTCTGGAACTCCTCAAAAAAATGCTCAGGTTTTAGGTTTTATCATTTTCGACCTGAACTGTTGAGCAATCAGATGTCAGGGCGGTAGTGAGTTCATTCATTTTTAAATCGTTAATTTTCTTGAAGACGGGACATTTTTATTTTAAATTATCATTTTGGATTACGTGGAACAGTTTTATTTTTATTGGTTGTCAGACTTTTTGATTGACAGCATCAGCGTTTGAAGTTGGAGGCCGCTGAGATTTGTGGTTTGGAAACGATGACAGACAGGATTTTAAAGGTGTTTATTCTATTCTATTGTTTACCTCCCCCCTTTTAATTAAAGGAGGCTGTACATAAAGTTTGGTTTGTGTTAAAATCTTCTTCTTTTTTTGTTGCAGAAACTTTCTCTGCAGAGGCAGATGATGGAGAACCTCATCATTGCCAGAGCCCGGCAGGATGCCGTATCCTTCTGTTGTCTCCGTCTCTGTCAGTTAAGATCGTTAGCTCTGTTTGGGGTCGCATTAACAAAATCAGATTGATCATTGATCAGATCACCAGGGTTGGTGAGCCGATCAATCAGAGCTGTGAGCAAAAAAAGCTGAGGTTTCTCAGATCTCAATCTCCTAATTCTCTCCAGTCAGATGTTGAGCTGCAACTGAGAAACAAATGAATAATTAATGCATTTTTATAAACAGGTAAAATAACTCAGACATTTTTCTTTGACCATTGTTGGAACTTCAGCTCCAGAGGAAGATGGAGGAGAGGAGACTGAGGCTGCAGGAGGAGGCTAACAGGTAGCATCTGCTTCACTTAACAGAAAATATCTGAAAACCATCAACCCACCAAATGTTGGGAAGTTTAATTAAAAATATAATTGAAGCTAAATGCTAATGGAGCCCAAAGACCAGACTCCGGTTCAGGTTTAGACCGGAGCAGCTGAATCTGCATCAATGTCTCTGATTGGAAGAGAGTCCAGCTCTGACTGGACCTGAGGGTCACATGATTAGATTACACCCGGGTCATCCAGGACAAGCTAACTGGAACTGTGCCGGGACTGAAGGAAACAATCCTGGTTTTGATCTTTATATTTTTACTCTTCTTCACCTGAAATGAACGAAAGAAAGAACGAAAATAAACGACTTTAAAATGACTCACAACAAGAACGGTGGAGGGCTAACAGTCAAAGTCTGTCTGTACACAGACCTAGTCAGGATGAGGAGAACTATTAACTATTAACCCAGTGACTGTAGCATGAGCTAACTTCTAACTACTGCGATCCCTGACTTCAGGAGATTCGCAGCGTCTGGAGCGATGACGGTGGAGGAACAGGAACAGCGGCGGCTCTATACTAATGTCCTGGAGTACGAGCAGGACCACGTAGGACTGACCCACGGTGACTAACGCCGCTGTCAGACCAGTACTGTTGTCTCTAATCTGGTTTTTAATCCGGTCAGGACTGGCCTAAGCTGTGGAAGACCAGTATGAAGGAGTATCCTGATGATGTCACCTTGGCTCCTCGGCTGGTCTCCTACCTCCTCAGGTGAGTGCAGCTGACATCAGCACTGGAACTGACTCGTCTTTATCTCCTCACTCTTATCAGCAGTCGATCCAGGTCTTACTGAATCAGGGTCTTTATATTTAAATACTGTTCAAAGTGTTGGTGGTCCAATCACTGAGACTGGACCAAAGTCCACGCTGGTCCTCACTGCTGTTGAAACAACCATACGTGGGGGGGTGGGGGGGTAATCTCCAACCAATGAGGAGCATCAATACACAGCCCCACAGTTAAATAAAATGTGTAGAATAATTCATTTTTTTCAGCTGAACAATTCTAATTTACTGATCATGTTCAAACATTATGTAAATTCATGTTTCAAATTCATTTCAAATGCAATTCTGTTAAATATATCATTCAATAAATGAACACAGAAGTCTCTCCCTGGGCTGTGGCCCCGCCCCCTTCACCAGTTTCATCAGTTCATTGGTTGATTATTATTAGGTGTTTTGGAAATAAAGGTGCTGTGGTCTGACCTCTGACCTTTGACCCCCTCCTCAGCCGCTCTGACCACCCAGTAGTGAAGCTGCTGAGGAAACATCAGTACAGTGTGTACAACAGACTCTACCCCATCATCAGCAGCGCTGCAGCCCACAGCCCAGCACCGCAGCCCACACCGTCTCACAGTGACCACAGCCTCCTTCAAACAGGTGACGTCCTCTCTATGACCTACTGAAGTGGGCTGGTAGTGTGTACTGTACCATATGGGCCATGTACCTAGCCAGGTACAAAGGTCCACAGAGCAAATCAGACCAAGGACCTGCTGGTGTACTGTCGCCCCCCTGTGGTTAGTTTGTGTCACTGTTAAACAGTCCGTCTGTTTGTGTTGGTTGTTGTCAACATGTTGTAGGTCAGAGCACCGCCGTCTCTTCTTCACCTTCACCTTCCCGCCACAATCTTCACACCAGCGGTGAGGATGAGGAGGAAGAGGAAGAGCCTCACACTCAGGCCTTGGTGGAGCGGGAGCACTCGTTTGAAGATCTGGAGCAGTTCCTGACCAACCTGGACTGGACTCCACCAGAGGGCAGCAGAATAGATGACCTTTGTTCAGATTCAAATTTGACCTTTGACCCTGCGGTACTGAAGGAGTGCCAGGTTCAGGAGCTCGAGATGAGAGCGCTGAAGGAACATCTGAAGGCCGTCGTCAAAGACATTCACATCGCCATCGGTGAGTGGGCCAGACCTGGGCTGCAGTGTGTACAGTAGACCAGTTCAGAGGTGGGTTCTGTGGTTCATCGTAGTTACGTTACAGTTACGCATTAAACAGACCCTTTTATTCAAAGTGACTGACAGTTGAGGATTAACAGGCGGAACCACAGTACTAATTTATACTGTGGTAACGAGTCAAAAACAGTTCAAAAACTGATGTGTTTGTGGTTCAACCTGTGGTTTAGTCAAAGGTCCCGGATTATAATCCAAGGTTAGACCGTATTATTAGATTAGACCAGATTGTACACACTGACTGCTGCAGCTAAACAGCACAGACAGACAAGCTGGCTCTTGCTGCCATCTAGTGGCAGTTAAAGGTATAAGATTTTTTTTTAATCTTCGAATGTCAGTTTCCTGACACGTTTGTTGAGATTCATCATTAATGAGTTGTGTGTGTGTGTGTGTGTGTGTGATTTCAGACCAGCTCCTGTCTCTCGCTCTCCTCTCCTTCGAGTGTCTGAACACAGCAGCCTCTAAAGACCTGTGTCTGGCCTGTATAGAAGAAGCTTTCTTCACGCCTCTCTGGACCGCCCTGGTGGCTCTTTTCAGGTACTGCAGCAGAAAACCCACATTAGAGAGTTGAAAAAATAATGTTTTTTTTTTTTTTTTTTTAAGAGTGTGGCCTTCACTGTCTTACAGGAAGGTGAACGTGGAGAGGGAGCAGGCCTTTCAGAGCAGCATGACTCTGTACAGGGAGGCTTCACCCCGAGACGTCGGTGTCTCCATTAAACTGTTCCCTCCAGAACCAGGTACTCTGCAGGGTTCCTACCCCTACGAGTGTGCTGTCCTGGAGCTGAAGCTGCTGCTGAACGACTACTGTCCTCAGAAGAAGCTGGAGTGTCTCAGTGAGTGGCCGTCTGTCTCTCTGTCTGTCTGGTAGTTTTTTGTAAAATTATTATTTCATTAAATGTAAATAAATAATAATAAATATCTAATATATTTGTGCTTTTGCATGAAAAAAAGGGGTAAAAACATGGACTTATTGACAGGATGGAGTGATGGAGGAGCAGGTGGAGGCAGGTGGTCCACTATGGTGACCCCTCTGCAGGAATTGTCTGCTGGTTCTCTTGTTTGAATCCAGACTGTGTCAAAGGTCACAGGTCAATAACCTGCTGCGCCCTCTGCTGTCTCCTTACAGTCAGGACCTTACGGATGATCTGCGCCTGTGCTGAAGACTACAGGAGTCTGCACGATGGAGACGCTAGTCCCACCACTGCTGCAATGTAAGTACCACACTCATCCACCAGGGGGATTTGGCCGGTTCACACTAACAGAACCTAAAACAGGTCCAGGCCAGAAACGAAAGTTGTTTGAGTTTTGGTGAGTGTGGTCAGACCTGTCACTTGTGATCAGTCCACACTCCACTCCCACTCAGCAGGAGGTTTTCAGGGTCTGGAGAAACACAGCTGATGAGTGAAGGTCTACGTGTCTGGGTTTGGAACTGAGCCAGGACTCAGGAACCAGACAAAGACTCAGTGGAGGGTTTTTAATGGTCCAGGGTGGATTCAGACAGGAGAAGGAGGAGCAGGAGGAGGAGGAGGAGGAGGAGGAACATGGTCAGTGTTTGATGTTCTACTGCAGACATTTCTTTGTTTGGGGTCAAGTGTGTGATGAAGAACCGATTAGAAAGTTCTAGATTATCAGGAGCAAAAATTCCTTCATGGTCACTATTATCTAAAAAGTACTAAGGAGTACTGGTACGTGAACGACTGTGTGATACAATCATATACTGCCATCAACGGTGGGTACTACATTTAAGGGATACTTCAGACTCGGAGTACTTGTTCTGTAAGAACTTTACAGCGAAAATGTTCTCGTCAGAGTTCTGGAACTCACCCATTTCTTCATGGACCTTGTTGGGGTGGTGAACCCCCTTTTTAAAGACCTGACCTAAAGACTAAACAGCCCAATTCAGCAGGGGGCGCTCTTCAACAGCTCAATGCTGGTTTCAGTGACATCTATGATCTGAGGTAGAAGTTCCTGGTACTGTATGTTGGTACCTGATCTATAGATGGTACTATTTATATTTTCTGTCCCGGTTCTTGTGGTGGACATGTTTGTTCCTGGTACTGTCCCTGGTACTGTCCCTGGTACTGCAGTGTTTGTGTGTTGACATAGAACATCCTGGTCCAATAACAGTGACAGAGCAGACACTCTGACTGGATATGAATTTTTACTTGTTTATTTTTTTGCCCCACCCTGACTGTAAATCTGAGTCTGATTTAACCACACACACACACACACACAGACACACAGACAGTCAGTTCTGAGTTCTGTTCTTCCGTCCTCTCAGGACTGGTGTTTGGATCAAACTGGTCTCCAGTCTCTCTGGTCCTTCTTTTATCTCTCTTTTCTTTTGTTCTTCTGACCTTTTTCTTCCCTCTTTGATCCTGGACCAGTGACCAGTCGTAATGAAGCCTAATCTTCGATCAGTATTTATGCCTGTGGGAAAGAAAGATGGCGTCGTGGTCCTGGAATGTCAACGCTCCAGTCTTCGTGTGAGACTGTGTGTGTGTGTTTACAGTAGTAACTCAGAAGATTATAATTCAGGGATGTGTGTGTGTGTGTGTGTGGTTAAACGAGCTTGTCCACACCTCCAAACCTGCGGCAGCCTCAGTATCCAGTTGCACGCGGCCCGGGTCAGTCCAGGGCCGGCCACACCGCCTTCTCACGCAAACGGTCTGAGGAGCGGTCGGGGCTGCGTGTGAGGGCCCGTAAACAAACGGTCTGTGTGTGTGCACACACACACACAGAGGAAGGCTATAAAACCGTCATCATCGTTCCACAGACTGCAGTTTATCCTCACCCACATCTGATGGAGGGAAGATAGAACAGAGCTGGACAGGACCGTCCTCCAGAGACGGGTCTGAAGACCAGCACAGTCCACCTGGGCCACAAACTGGACCTGACCTGCTGTAGAAGTAGATCTGAGGTTGTTATGGTAACATCGTCATAACACACACACACAAAAACCACATCAGATCTGAATCATAACACTGCTTCATACACCAGGCCAGTAGTTGGCAGTATTGCAGCTAAGTTAGTTTGTCAGGCAGGAGACAAATGAACGACAAATGAAAATGTATCGAGTGACGTCTGTGCACGAGAAAGTTTGTTGAACAGTGATGGAAGACCAGAGCAGAATCTACAGTCCTGGTACTGACACCAGGGCTAACGTTAGCTTCACCAGTCCTGGTACTGACACCAGGGCTAACGTTAGCTTCACCAGTCCTG